ATTTTCCACCCGTAGTCCCTGGTACGGTATGTATGACCACGTGTGTGAGAAGTGACTGCTCAAAAACAGTGGCAGCTCCCACAGAGAGATGTTTTTATTCGTCTCTCAGCTGACTTCGATGATTTTGATGTAGGATGGATCGCTGATATCATTGGTTGAAGTTCGCTCGTGATAGATGATCATCCTATCATGTGCCAAGTATTTATTGGAAGTGCCCGCCCTTTTCCAAACAGTTTTCAACGACGACCGCCCAGGTGGTTCCGTGTAACAGACCTGCCACAGTCAGGTTACTCTCTTTTAGCTCTGTTTATTGTCTGTACCTGTAGATGTACAGCGCATTTCCTACTTCGGGATAATAAAAATATGAATAACTTAAGTATAAACGTATATAAGTTTTAATGGTGCAACCCAATTTAGTAAATCGTTAGTGTGAAATTAGCTAATATTACTAAGAACTTAGGAAGGACTTTGCACACAAACTAAGTGAAGGATTTAGAAATAGTTAATATAGCTTCAAATCAGGCAGTATTTCTCACATTCAGCTTAACTGGGTTATTCTTCACATGCACCAAAGACTTAAATATCTGGGATAATAATTATCCATAACCACATTGTCATTTAAGATCACTTCAGAATAATTTCTTCTGTTCTGATTTTCTGTAATTACACTGTTTCTCTTTTCACTCCTGTAGCCTGTGTCATATACTTGTCTAACCTTATTAATGTGTCTTGTCATGCCAGCACTTGAATGAATTACGTATGCACATTTGAAGTGATTATTTATGCCGTTATCATTAGGTATGTAACTGCAGTCCTTGCCAGTACGGAAACTGAGACACTCCCAGGTTAGTTCTCCATAGCCCTCATCCACGGTGGTGCAGGGATATCAGGTTCAGAGGGACTCTCCTCCACTTTCCCCTAGAATGAAAGAATGTGATTGTAGATTAGCTTAACAGGGAGGATGTTAGGAAACAGGAGGCAATCATTAACCTCCGGTTCCTATCCAGCTATGGATTTCAAGCTCTCTCTGAATACCTGTCACATAAATTTTCCTTCGCTCTCATTCTGAAATGGTTATTCTGTTTCTTTCATTTACATGTCCCTACTTGCGGTTCTTCTCTTTTTTTCTATATATTGCAACTTTCCACATCCTTATGGCATATTCTGTATACATACAGATTAAACGTGGTAGTTCATAATACTGTAAATAATGTAAGAGGAAGGTGCTGAAGGGCTGGATGTAGTTTAAATATTATGTACATTTGTTGCACATTGCAACCTAGACACACTAGTAACACACATATGGAAGCAAAAAAAGATAATAATATTTAATCTTTTTAAACAACTGAATACCTACATTTAATTTTACCACTATTGAATAGGCCTACTTAATGTTGAAATTTAAATACCACAATATAACCTTCTATCTAAATGTATGGTGACTTGAATTTCACATTTTGAATATTTTTATAAAGTCTGAAAATCACCAATTTAATTTGAGTAAATTTATTTTTTTTACCTGACTTGAATTTCGATCATAAATTGATTTTGAGCAATTTAAAAAAGGTTATTAAATTTAGACATTTAAGTAAATCAGCAGTATATTTAATTGTTATAAATTATTTAAATTTCAACATTAAGTATTTAGCAAATTATGTTATTTAACAATTAGTTAAACAGTTGCTTATCTTGTATCTCTAAGTCTCAAATCCCTTTGGCCTGTTTTTGCTTCCATACACTGAAAAACTGTAAACATCCAGTAATCCTCAAAATATTTATTTTAACAGCAGCAAAATAAATGTCTAATGGGGATGGATAAATCGGATTAATACACACAGTAATAGGCAATTATTTTGATATTATAGACAACATCTAAATAAAAATCAAAGCTACACTCATGTTTACTGGGTTAGTGCTACTTTAATTTACCAAATGGAAAGGCCAAATTTTGCAGGATCACTTAAAGTAGATAGGTTCATCATCTGTCATTGCATATTGGCGGAAGTTCATAATGTATTTAGGAATTAAAGGCAAGTATCCAATAGGAAGTGCCCACAAGAATTTGGCAACTGGCAGTAAGGAAACAGAATCAAAATAATGGAATATCAGAAGACAAATAAAACATCAAACAAAACAAAAACATCCTCGTTCCACACATATTCACTGAAATCTGTTAACTACTTCATTACACCTCAAGATGCAAACAGACAGACATGAACGGAACAAAAACGTTACCTCTATGGCAGGGGTAATAATATGCTACGTGCTTTATATCCTTCAGCTCCCAGGGCGTCCCAAACAGCAATTTTCTGGATTCTTCATGTGAAACATCACAAGGCCAAAACATTTCTCAATCCTCCTGGAAAAGACATATCATGTACAGCACTGAAAATACACCCTTGTTAATCATTATGGCTTAGCAAAATGATACAAATAGGCAGGTCTGCTTGATGTGTCTGGTGTGCTTTTAAGACCTCCTAAAATAAATACAAATCCTTAAAGCGGAATAACAGTATTTTCAGGGACTTCTGGGAAATGTGAAAAAACCTCTGAATGTTAATGTTTAAATGAAATGTGATCTGTTTTGTTTCATAGTCAACCTCACCTCAAAATAGGCTTTACAGGAATCAGTTTCCTGTACAGCCAGCTACAGCACATGCACTTTGCCAGACAGTGTAACAAATTTAAATCTCTAAGCAGTAGGTTAAAGCTTAATGGTTCTCATACACAGTGTGCTGATTTCATAATCTGACGCAGTGAAACTATGCAGGCTAAGTGAACAGAGGTATGTGACCCCTCTGTCCACCCCCGCGTTTCTGGCCAGGTTGGGCAGTTTGTGTTTGATCCTGAACTACCGGGTCAAACCATTACAAGGTCAGAGGGTCCACTCGGTACATTCCACAGCTTTTAATAGGTCACTAACAGAATATTTCACACTGAAAAAGAGAGACAAAGGATGAACAAAATTGTTAATTACAGGAAGAAAGTTGTTGTTTTTAACAACCTTTAGTATCACTGAGCTAAGTATGAGTGTGTGCCCGTTTCGGCCCACACCCTTCATCTATCCACTGCAAATCCAGTTAACTGTGTTTTCGCTCATGCATGACAGATTAATGTCTGCACTAAATCAAGCTCTTACTGCCATGACACTGCAGCTGAGTGTTAATGAACAGGGACACACCTGGTTTCCCACCTTGGTCTTCAAGGTAACAAATAAAAAGAGGGAAGAGTTTGAATACGATGTGATACAGCATGTCTTATCTAAACTAGTGTCAGCGCTAATGCATCATTGAGATGACGAAAACTAACACACAAGCAAGTGCAGAAGTCATCATACCTTAATGACCATATGGCTAGCCCACTGTAAAACCACAATTTCTTTGGTTATTGTAGAGGATACACAACGCAATATAGTGTGTCAATCAGTGAGCTTTAGAAGCGCTGTTACCTTTGGACAAAGACAGGCGAGCTGTTTCCTAGCTTCATATTGAGCATGCAGACATTACTCTCGGCAACAAAGCGAATGGCAGACTTCCCCAAAAAATGTCTGTTTATGTTTATTCTTGACCTTGGAAAGAGCAGTTGAGAAAACATTACACCAAAGTCCATTTAATGGCTGTTCTGGAGCTTTTGATCACATGATCTCCACCAGCTGATGGGGTTGTCACTGTGAATAAAAAAATTACACAAAAAAAAATATTGAACAAAATATTTGCAGCTGCTTCTGTAAGGGAAAAAATGTTGTCATATTGAAAAGGCTGTTTGTCATAGATGAGACTTGAACTACTCTGGTATCAAAGTCACAGTCTGCACACCCAACTACACACCCCGAACCCCTCCCGGAGAGAACAGTGAGTATTTGCATGTTCCAAGGAAGACGCTTATCAGGGAAGTGTTGTCATTTAAAGCATCTGAACAAGAAACCACTGCTTTTATGTTAGACTGCTCTAATATAAACCCAACTGACAGCTGAATTTCACTCAGTTAAAATGCAATAAACACAACCTAACAGACTGTGAGAACACTATCTAGCTGTGACTGATTTGATATGAGTTCCAACCTCGACTCAAGATAATTACATGATGACCGTGTGGTTTTGGGAGCACGATGAAAAACTCACTCATTATAAGGAAACACAAACACATACACATACACAGGGATGTCACCACACTCCCACAGTGGCCCTGCAGCCCAGGACAGACATCCTCCTAAATAAATAACAAGTCACCATTAAAAATAATATCAATATTTTATTAGTCCCAACTATGCAAGACAATAAAAACAGAGTCATGGTTAAGGATTCATGTCTCAACTAGAAAAATAAACAGCACCAGCGCTGCCCAAAGGAGTATCAAAATAGATTTGGGCTACATGCAAATGCATATGTGCATGCATGTACACACTCACATGATATATTCAAAACATAAGCAGTATAAAAGACACTCTGTTTAACAGGCTTAATACTCAAGTAGAAATCTGGTTTTACAGCTCTGGGTAACATAAGCAGCAACTTCAGATGATCTGCAATTTATACTCATGCTGGTAAAAGGACCCTGCATAGGAATCCCCACATGTTAGTTAGTTACTATTCTGGGTCCCACACCAAGCAAAATCATTTGATTTACAGAACTAACTATTGTGGTTTCATATTTAATGTAAACAGTTAGTGCATTTTATCATTTCACTTGTTCCATCGTGGTCCTATCCCTTCTTCAGCGTCAGATCAGCTTCGATTCTCTGGTGTTCCTGAATGGGACGCTGGTCTGATGTCTGGAAGACAACTCCCTGAGAGAGAAAGACAGGAGGCAAATAAATGAACAGCTTCAGGGAAGACAAACAGGAAAAATACAAGTAGATATAGTTTAGAGACGGCTTGAAGGTTCATTTTTGACCGTAGAAAAACAGAAACTTCTCAACAAAGTCCAACTTATTCCGATTTTGGGTCATAGTGAATCCTGGTTCAGATCTTTGGCAAATTGTTTGAGTTACAAAAAGAAACCAAAAGAAGGTATAAGCTTTATTTTCATCAGAAAAGGATGTATTCTGGGTTTCAAATAATAACAATAACACAACTGTTATGTTCTTGAATCTGACTGCAGATTGGATTGACTGGACTTTACTGCATTTTAGTGTGGTTCATACTGCGAGAAGTGAGTGGGCCTATATAAGCAAAGTCATTTGATTTAAGTTTTTTGTAATTTCCCTATTCTGTTCATACCATTTTAAACCACTGCACATTTCCCTGGGTTCATTGAGTTATTGTTGGTTATGGTTTCCTGCATTTGTTTCAGATAATATCCTCACTTATAACCATAACACAGTTCCTCTGAAACTGGACCAAGATTCACATTCTCAAGGGCTCCGATGACATCTAGCTAATCTGCCAAACCCAACCAATGTAGTAAAATAAACCACAAACATTTGTGAACACACCCTAAAGTCATCTAGCCAATTCCATCAGTAGGAAAACAGCACTGTGGAATCATATACAAACATCCTGAAAGAGGAGACACAGTGTTTGGCTTAAAATGATGAAAGCTATAAAATATTTCAGATGTTCTTCCCTTCTTCTTACTTCCTTGTTTGTTCCTCTTCCTAGGGAACTTTACATTTTTCACATTAAACACTGAAGCCTCTGTGCATCTAGAGCAGAAAACAGTCACAGTTCCTTTCCTAGATGTGAGACAAATGCTCCGTTATCTAAAATCTATTCATGAAGAAAGTGTGTGGGTGTGTGTTCTTGCAGACAGAATCTGATCATTTCCCCATGGAGCAAAAACTGTCCCCAACATTACACATGACATGACAGCATTTACTCAAAGTGACCTTATCCTTATTTATTGTCAGAGCCGCTTTACTCTGCTCCATCAACCACTTATAGCCCAGCGTGCCTCGACTCCACACGACAAACAACACTTCTGTTCCTTGGATTAAAATGTCTGACTTAGACTGTGGCGTGAGGGTGTGTGAGAGAGCACATGTGCCTGAAAGAAAGAAGGTATGCGTCTGTGGGAGTATGTTCCTTGAGCGAGTGTGTGTTTGAGTTTGGCCTGATTTTCATTGTGTGTTTGAGTCACCGTGAGTGTGCAGCGATTACCCTGAGCAGGTTAGCTACGGTGGCTTAAGCTGCATGTGGTTGGAGACAGACTCAACCTGAAGGTAAACAGCCATTCACCGTGGCTGGCCTTCAGTCTGGACGTCCTATGATACATGTAAATGGAGGTAATTCAATGGAAGAATTGACACTATGCTAATGGTGCTCCTTGACACTGGCCCCACACTATACAAGCGTATAGTCATTGCTACGAGGCAGCACAAGCCTATAGAGCAACCAGTGAGGTGGGCCCCAACGCTATTCAGTCCACAGCCTTTAAATGACCTCGAATAATCACATTTTCACCCAACCAGCCAAAGAAAGTCTATGAAGAAACATACAGTCCACCATACCAAAGTATGACAACATAAGGCTCAACTAATTACCAACACAGACCAGTTGGAGAATAATACAGCCCCCACCACCCACACGTAAGCACTACTAAACAAGAACAAGTAAAAGACAGCTTTGTCACCACCACATAGAAATGCTCTCACACAATCACTGGAGCAGGACCTGCATGGGTAATGATCTGTTCAGTGTGTGTACACACACACATATATACACACACACACACACGCACACACGCACTTATTGCCGTGATTCAGGTGGAACTTCCTCCAGTCGAGGGGAAAACTAGACTTGTGAAAGCAATAACCATCTCTCCTTGCAACAGCTACCTTGGACCTCTGTTCTCCTCATACCTGCTATCACATCCATCATACTCACGTTACCCCCCACTAATGCATGAAAAGGGCACTTAACTGAAAAACAATACTTGCTGTAATCTGACAGTGTTGCACGCATGAGAAGATTGACACCCCTTTCATGCATGTATGTCAAATATGGACTAAATAAATATGCTCTTAAACCTCACTAATTGTTTAATCTGTGTGCAAACACAAATGTAAAATGTCTATTTGTGATTTTAGACGGAGTTAGGTGCTGTTTCAGCTATCCATCTATCCATGTACTTCTGTGCAGTGTCTCTGCAGCATGGCTCTAGGGATGGCTATGTGAAATATATGTACAACTACTCACATGGATTGTCCTTGGTACAGATATCTATAGCGACCAGAGCATGAACCTTGGTTACTTTGGTAAAGGTTTTCACCTATCATATGAAATGGTTTTTACAGACATTCATTGTCTCCAGAGGATGTATCCTACTGACTTTGGTAATCTCCTGGCTTTTTCTCTAGCCCTGCAGGTTGACATGTGTTTTGAGTGAGAGGGGCATGATTCTTGCTTTAGGTTTGCCTAATTTGCCCAAGTCAGGAAGCCAAACCAAACGCACAAAGAAGAAGTTAAGTTCAGCTGCAGCTCAGTATTACAGGGCTTATTATTTCTGAAATATAAAGTATGCAACAGATAAGGAGGAGGAGAGGCACTCCCAAAAGAGTGAGACATTCTTGTTTACAAAAAAGCATTCATACAGATTTCAGCATGAAGATACTGTCCACTGATTAGTTTCTGGACTGTGACAACATTTGATAGCCATCATAAACCAGAGATATGGTTCAGATTTGAATCTACTGAGGTCAGAGTCATAGTTCATATCTGCTATGCATCCGTTAAAAACATCCCCCCAAACCCAAGACCTTAAGAAAACAATGAAGGTGATATCATTCATGTCTATCAGGGGATGCTGAACTAAAAGTGAGCACAATGAGCTCTCGACATGTTGAGGCTCGACAGATTGAGTCGTATGACCCCAACTGGCCCCACATTTGTCACTTCTGGAGAGCTCATTATCGTTTGCTCCCCTGTCACAAACAATTGCTGTGTTAATATGGTTTCCTGTCATACAGAGCCACAATGGAACTGCTAAAACATTTAGACTGGGTGTCAAGTTGGATTGCATATATACACACATAAGTGTAGACAGGTGTGGGTGGTACGCACACCAACCTAAAAAGAGAGTAATTATTACTTCTCTGTTCCAGCAGACATACAGCATGCATAATTTAAATTCAATTACACTGTAAGGAGAAGAAGGAAACTGGAGAGAGACACACAGCAGCAGCAATAATGTGCTGCACCAGTAAAACCATTTCCTTTGCAGTGACTCAGCAAGTCACACCAACTGGGCTCAGTTACTCAGCTCTTTTGACCCTAACTAAGTTCTTAGCACAGAGATGCATCAGTGACACCTAACACCAGTGGCCAATTCACCTCAAAAAGGAGGAACAACGAGTAACTGCGGTGTGACACTATCCATTGCAAACCTGTCCATCACATATTGGTAAGACTGCAACTTGTTTGGTCTATAAAATTTCCAAAGAAAAATGGCCATCACAAGTTTTCAAAGCCCAAGGTGACATCTACAAAGTGCTGTCTGAAAACAGCCCAAAACAATAAGGTATTTAGTTTACAATGATATAAAACTGAGTTTACAGCCACAGTAGCAGCTCTGTGAGGTTCTATTTAGGCACAGTGGCACTTTGATTAGCAAATAACTGCTACTGTGGCTGAAAAGCAGCAAGGTCTCGTATTTTTTCGCAACCGGAGCCACACACATTTGCTCAATTAATTACAAACAGTTAATAAATTAGAAAAATTGCTGGCAAATAATTTGCTGTCAGATAGAGACTCATAAACTGACGAATAATTTAGGCACTGCATTGTTTTTATTTTCAATGGTAACTTATCGGAGTCACGGAATTGTGTTTGCCCCAGAGAAGTACTGTATATGTCTATGCTAATAATTAACAACAAATGGCAATGCACAAGAATATGTTTTATTTCAGAAACTACCTCCTGCAGTTATACTCTATGTATGTGAAAGTACCATGACTTTACCGTAGATGGTTACATAAAATCCAAGGATGAAATTGGAAACTAACTCTACCTCAGCTACTGTCAAACAAGTGTCAAAACAAATGACTGAAGAGAAAAAGACCTAGGGTGAGAAATGAACTCAAACATCCTCTGTGAGAGGGGAAAGGTGGTTTGACAGGCAAAAGTGTAGGAGAGTTGAACTGGGGTGGGGGGTCTTCACATATGTCTGGCTCTTCTTTGATGGTACTAGAAGTTAGAAAGAGAACACTATGTTTTTGATGTTGTGTCAGAGCTTTCCTAACTGGCCTGTGTTCTTTTTAGTTAACCTGGATATGTTCATTTGACAACTCAGTGACGAGCTCTGCCTTTCACAAGTAAAGACAATAGCCTAGTCATTCACCACCAACCTTTACAGCCCCATCTCCCTCATCCTGTCCCCAGCAGGTGTTCACAGTAAGACACAGCCGATATCAGATACAATCTGAGATGCGGGCTATAGGAAGTGCTGGGAAGTTACTAAAGACGTTAAGCATGACAGTTTATTTAAAGCGGTGAAGTGTAGATCAGGGTAGTCCCATAGTGAGTGTATATCTCTAACTGCTTCGACCTCAAAATTCCACCGGGCATGTCTTAATAACATTGCATGTGCAACGTTGTTTGGCTCCATGATCCACGCATCTTCAGGCCAGAGAGAGCGTTTCAGAAGCAGAGCATCTTCAGGGCGTGTTGCCTATCCGATGTTGTTTACTTGTGTATTTTGCCCTTAAAAAGGATATAAAACAGTGTGTTTTTACACTTAAAATAAATCTCCTCTAACCTGCCTCTGACTGACTGACTTCTGTTCTAGTGGCACAACGTTGATCTAGTGTGAAATTTGATCTGGAGTCTGCATGCTGTATTTTATTTTGAA